ACCTCCGAGCGTCCGAGAACACGGGAATTCCCATCTCTGAGTCCATCCGTAGGTGGAGAACCTGGGGAGCTGGGATGGGCGGGCCGCCTCCAAGTCTGATGCCCAGAGAGCCTTCTGAGCAAAGCTCTGGGGTTCACAGGGCCTGGGTGCAACCCAGCGCCGCACTTACCCGCACGAGATCCCAGCAACTGTCCCCCCCCTCAGCCTGTTTCCTCACCCGCTTTGTGAGGTTCTGGGGCCAGAAGCAACCCTGGCATGGAGGAGGCACTCGGAACAGCACTGTCACAGTCGGCTGTATCATCTGGGGCCCGAAGGATGAGTGACATTTGATCAGCATCCGGCCGAGAACATGCGCTGGCGGGCAGTCTGCCTTCCAGAACGTCCCCTTTCCTGGTCCATTTGCTGATGTGGCACAAGATTAAAATCCAGTGTGGCCCAGGCAGGCTCTCCCAGGGGTTCGCGTGTCTCAGGCTTCAGTTCAGTCAAATGTCTTTTTTCTCCTTCAGAGCCTTCATCTGTGTTGGCACCCAGGACCTGACGCCCCGCTCAGCCACCCCACCTGGCCTGTGCCTCAGGCTCCACCCTCCTCGCTCCCTCTCTTCCCTCTCCCTTGCGGAGCTGGGGTGGGGGTGGGGGGGTGCCAGCGGAAGCCAGTTCAGTCGTGGGCAGTGGGGACCCAGCGACTCCACTGCACTCAGGAGAGAGGGTCTGAGGCTCAGCACGTGATCCAGATGGAGAAGACAAAGCCGGACATGTTCCTCCCCTCCGCTGGGCCTCCAAGATGCTGGTCTGCAGGATTCTCGGCCCTCCAGGCCCCTCGCCGGCTTCTGCCACCCACAGATTCAAAGGGGTGCCAAAGAGAAAGGTCAGCAACAGGGACAACGCCTCTGCCCCCCAGACCACCTACTCAGGGCACAGGTGGACTGCTCTATAGACGCGCACCCCAGCGAGGGTGCCCGGGGAAGGAAGGCCGCAGGTGGCCCCCCCCCCCAAGCTGCAGAGCCAGCAGCAGAAGGGTGCCGAAGCTGTTGCTCCAAGAACAAGAGTGTGGACTGGCCATCGGGTTCCCCCCCGAGGGCAGATTCACCCTTTTAGCTGGGAGGACACAGGTCTCCGGCGACTTCAACAGCTGAGTTAAGACAAGTGCCTCAGCTCACACGGGACTTCTGGATGGACTTCTGCTGGCGTTTGATTTTTCTGAGCTCACATAATGTAATGCACATTCAAGGAGGTGGTAAGTATATTCCCATAATTTCCCAGAAGATGGATGCCAAACTGAAACAGAATCAGGGTGACTGTGGTTTGTGTAAAGAACGTGGGTCCTGTTAACAGTGGGGGGGAAGGTGCTGGTCCCCTGAAGGACGCTGGAACAGCATCCCGGGTCCGATACAGAATGATGCTTTAATAACACTCACGATCACATAGTTGTTAACAAAGAAAGTGCTGTTTGGAAAGAAAACATCCCTGAGAAGCGTCTAAAAGTAATCCTCCAATAGGCAGAAATCCACACTATTTATAATTCTAATGATAATTACAACCTGCTCTTAACTCGGACATTCTAAGTTATTAGTTCCTTTATTAAGAACCGAAAAAGGGACTTCCTGCAGCATAACGAGCACGAGTCACAAGCTTCAAGAAGGAAAAAAAAAACAAAACACAGAGACAGTTCTGCACGGAGCTGGAGGATGGTGGATGTAATTTATTTAATAAAAGTGCTTAGTTGAGGAATTGGTACACCCTTAGGGGTTCAGACAGCTCCACGCCTCAGAACTGCTATTTCTAGGGCAAGATAAAAATGTGTATCCTAGGAAAATAACAATTTATCATTGTAATGGTCACATCCCACTTCAGAAACCACTAGAGACTGCTTAACATTTTTATTTCAAACACGGTTTTCCCAGTCCTCCAGTGTCACAGGAATACTGATGCCAGAAGGCTTTTTCCCATTTGTTCCTAATAAAAGTGGCTGGATCCCGAGCTCATTTTCATCTGGGGTGACGTAAAGGTCTGCGCATTCACAGGCTGATCCTTCCCCTCCCTCCTGGCTCTCCTTCCAACATCTCCAAAGGCAACGTCGGGCAGTCACCGAAGCTGGAGGGGCTCCCCTGCCCCTCACCCCACCCGCCCGCCAGGCCTCTGTCTGAGGGTCCCTGTGATCGGAAGGCAATGACAGGTGCCCACCTTCTTCCTGGGTACTGGGTGCTCAGTGCTCCCACCGTGAGAAGCCGTTCTGTATCCGACAGACCTCCTCGTTACCAACAGGTTTCTCTATTTCAAAGCGTCTCCAAGATTTGTACATGTTGCCATTGAATTAATTCTTATAATTTTTCTTCTGTTACTTTATACAGCCGCAACCTATCTCTCTGGCGTTGAACCCGAGGCCAGTTTCCTGAAGATAATCACCTTTGTTACTGTGGTTATTAACTAGCAAAAGGTTTAGATGTTGCTGTGGCAACATCAAATCCCTGATGTTTCTTCCTGGTGTTAAAAGACTTCAAACACTGGAGTCATTTTCTTCCTCTTCAGTAACAGGCATCTAAATGTTCCATGTTGGTTATGGGAACTAAGGTTTTTGGAGAGTAGTAATTAACAGCAATAAAACGTTTTTATCAGACACTAACTATGGGTCAGATGCTTTCAAGTATCTTCTCAACGGTCCCACGAGGTAAATATCACAATATCTGCATTTGGTAAATAAAGGTGAGACTGAAGGTCAGAGAGGTTGATTAACTCACTTGCAGTCACAGAGCTGATGGGGGTGAAAAAACAAAACGCCTCTGAATTCAGACAGCCTGACCGGAGGGGCTCTCCTGCCACACACTCGGCTCCCTTCTGCTCTCGGCAGGCGGATGAGCGGCTGGGGACGGGGCGGTCAGTGTCCCCAGGGCGGAGCGTGAGCTCGTGGTCCTCCGATGCCCTCTCCACATTCGGTCCCACTCTCAGCGTGTGCAGCTCTTACCCAGCACCCACCCGGCCCGCCTTCGCATCCTGGGGCAGGTGACAGCGGTGGCCAGTACAGAGGGAGAGGAGCCCAGACACCAAGACCACAGCCCGAGATCAGAGCCACGACGTCCACGCAGAGCGGACGAGAGGCCCGAGTCACCATGAGTGCTACTTCATGTCCCAGAGAAGTTGCAGCCTGATTCATAAATAAAAACAGAAAACAACAACAACAAAAAAACACCAAGAGAAGAGGGTGGCTTACAAAACAGCCTGGAGTGAGGCTGGTGCTGAGCCCAGGATGAGGCACCCAGGGCCAGCGACCTGTGCAGACACTCCAGCCTCTGCACCTTCGCATTCCGCTGAATTCCACGCGGAAACGTTCCCCCGAGGACGGAGCGGGCACGCAGGCTCGGCAGCTGGGTTCGGTGTGTGGGGAAGACACTGGCATTCGGATTACACGTTTGCGTTTGGTTAAGGTGAGGCAGTTCCCCTGAGCCTCATTTATAGTGGGCTGAAGACAGATGAAAATGTCCGGCTCTGCAGACAAGGGAACCCCATCCTGTTCCTGAAGAACCTGCAGGGAAGGAACCGTAGACCCTCCCAGCCCCGCCCCTTGCCCCAGGGAGAGGAGGTGAAGTCATCCGGAATCAGGGCTGCTATGAGGCATCACACAGTTCGGTTTGGTCACTAAAACGGCAGGTCCCAGGAGTGGTGTGTCCTTGGGCTCCCCTACCCAATGAGGAACTGGGTACATTCACCCGAACATTCTTTTTCCAGTCCGTACTCCTGACCCTGTGTCCTGAGCTCACCAAGGTCCCAAGGGCTCACGGCAGTCAGCCTGGTCAGCTCTGAGGGAGGGTCCTGGGCCGTCCCCTGCGATGACACACTTGCCTGGGCCACTGGCTTGACACTGAACAGAAACCAGCAAAGACTCCCGCCAGGGTCACGAGAGGACTGGGAGCCAGGCCCTGGAGCTGTGTGGTGACCACACCGGTCCCTGCCTTCCCGGGTCAGCAGTGAGCCTGGGGGATGGGGACCCTCATGGCACACACAGGGCCTGCCTTTTCTTCTATCCTCACCCGAGAACATTCCTGCGTTCATCTTCAGATAGAGCGGGAGGGACAAAAGGAGGGAGAGACAGAGAGAGACATCGATGTGAGAGAGACACATCGACTGGTTGCCACCCACACAACCCCAGCTGGGGCCGGGGACAAACTGCAACCGAGGTACGTGCCCCTAGCGGGAACTGAACCCGGGACTCTGGCCCGCGGGCCGATGCTCTACCCGCTGAGTCAAACTGGCCAGGGCGGGCCTGCCTTTTTCTTCCACACTCCCCCACGGGTCGGGCATGACGAGGGATCGACGAATGAGTCCTGAGGTTGAACAATAATTTCAAGAATAATTTGCCATATCTTCATGGATCTTTCCCCATTTTCAGTGTTTCATTTTGTTTCATGTGATTCTGGTCTTTGAGATCAGAATGATCATGCAGGGTTTCTCGCCCTCAGCCCGGGTGGCATTCCGGGCAGCACCATCCCTTGCTGCGGGGCTGTCCGTGCACTGTAGGCCGTCCCTGGCCTCTCCCCACCAGCAACCCCTGCTCATGTGACAACCCCAAAATGCCCCCAAACGTCCCTGCATGTCCCCTGGAGGGCACACTCACCTCTGGCTGAGACCACGGCTCTGAAAGGCTGAACCTGGGGTTAGGTCTAAGTAGTTAGCTCTGGTACCTGTCACACTGCAGGCAGTGATCCTATTAAAAGGCCTTCCCTTTATCTGTGTGCGTGCCTCCCGTTTGTTTATTTGGGAACAGCAGTCACTGCTGGGCAGAGGGCCACGGCTGCGGACCCGCCGCCTGCCAGCTGGCTCCTGCCAGCGCAGTTGGCAACCGCGGGTGTGCACACTGCTCCTGGGGTTCAGTGTGGGGGTCCGTGGTGCCCTTCGCTCAAAGTCGGGAGTTCAGGTGCCGGGGGATCCTAAATTCAGCACGAGGGCTCAGACTGTGGGGACTGCCTCCCACAGGGAGCCTCTGGGTCACTCAGTCACAGACCCTCAACCAGAGCTGCTGACCTCTGTGATGTGCGCCAGGGGCAGGAAGGCGACGTGGTGCAGGCGGAAGTTTCTGGCTCCGAAGAAGGCCGCCTTCTTGGTCACCACCTGTCAGGGCGACAGAAGGAGAAGCCCTGATGATATTCCGAGAGCAGCGCTCTCAGCAGCAAGGCGGGGGGCAAGCACACACTCTCCAACTCCCCCTTGTGCGGGGGTGAGCTCGGGGCTGGCCTCTGTGAGCCACCAAGGTGTTTATTAGATAAAGAAATGCCACAAGTGTCTCGGGTCCAGTTTATATGAATTCTGCACACGTAGCAATGTGGCCACCACCCATTGCCAACCCCGGAGAAGTAACAGGTGGTCAAAATACAACTCAAGAGAGAGCGTGTGCACGGATAACGTGAGATTGTCTGGTTAGCCACTCACCACCTGAAGAGTCCTAAATACCAGAGCAAACGACAAGTCTCATCAACAAAACCAACCCACCATCCCTTCCTCCTTCCTCCCATTGGAGTCAGGAGGTCTGCTTGTTCTCAAATCGTCTCCCGGCCGCCTGCCACATTCCAGAGTGGGCACTGGTAGGGGCGTTTGATACGTATCAGGGATTCTCCGTGAACATGGAGACGAACTCATGGTGCCTGTATGTCGTGTGTTCATCTCACAAGCAGCATTCATAGGGTACTCTGTGTAAGACGCCTTTGAGACTCTCTGACGATAAAGGGTTTTCTTGTTTTGATTTTTGTTTTTCTCCTGTTTCAGTTGGAGGGAGATGAGGAGGCATAACTGGAATGAAGAAAGCACACGAGGAAGAGAAAGATGCCGCATCACGGAGCTGAGCGGCAGTCATGCAGGTGGAGTGAAAGGCAGATTCTTATCTGATCAGAGTTAAAAGTGGCGCTTCTGACTTTTCTGTGTTCTTCCTGCCTTTCTTTGTTTCAAAACCTAACGGTTTGATATTTAAAATTTTAGCAATTCCTTTTGTGTGTGTATGTGCAAAGAAAGAACAGGCAAATCGCAGGTCAGAGCCGGTGTCTGCTTCCCATTTGCTGTGAGCTCAGCCCGGCCCGTCTGGAAGGCAGCCTGCTTCCCACGCGCCCAGTCCCGCGGGCCCAGCCTCCCACCCGGGACAGAGCTTTGTGCGCCAGTGGAAAGAGCACTGCGGAGAGCCGCCACCATGTATAATTCAGCAGTTACCTGGGGCAGCTGGCACAGTTTGGAGGAATATGTCACAGGTGCCTCGGAGTCCCCACCTAACTGGGGACAGTCAGGGGGGAGAACGTCTGACTCCCTCCATCCATATCTCTCTGCACTGGTGTCACGGTTACAACGGAAAAGGCTGGAGATTTGCAACTCACAAGGCACAGCCTACAGGAAGGACACCTCCAGCAGAGGTGAGGACAAGAGCTGGCCAGATACTCCGGGCCCGAAACTGTACCATCACACCTGAGGAAAAGGCTGGGCAGTCCGTGCCAGAGCAGAGCAGATAGCTATCCTGTCCCTGCACGGGCTGCCACGCCCCCTCCTGGGAAGAGGGGAGGGACAAAATATTGTGCAGACGTGTCCACATAGAATTGAGGGCACTTCTACATACTGTTAAAAACTCCGTGTGTTAAGCGAGTCTTTCACCGGCCTGATCTAGAGAAAAGCAGGCAGACTGCTGGCTGGACAGAGTAGAACTGGCCCGAGAAGGGACTGAGGTGGGGAAACCTAGCAAAGGGGTCTTTGCAGTCTGCTGTGACTGTACCCCTTCAAAGAGTACGAGGCAAAAAGAAAAAGCAAGTCCAAGTTAAGGAGCAGGCCCCCTGAAGGCCTGCCAGCCAGCGCCCAAGTGCCCTCCCTTACATATCAACACCACAGTGCTGCTGCCCCCCCCCCGGGCGCTCAGTGTCCCCTCGCCCCCACTCCCCAACAGCAAGGCGGCCACGGACTGCCCCGCACCAAGGACACACCCAGGACTTCAATCACTTTAACAGAAGGCAGCTTTACTAGGGCAGATGCCCAGGGGAATGACGGGCTGAGAAGCCTTTGTTCTCTTTTATAAAAACATAATAATTTATTTTTCAATTAAAGTTGACATACAGTATTATACTAGTTTCAGGTGTATAACACAGTGATTAGACATTTACATAACTTATGAAGTGGTCCTCCCGAGAAGTCTATACCCACCTGCCACCACACATAGTTATTACAATGTTGCTGATGACATCGCCTATGCTGTCCTTGACCATTGTGTATCCCCGTGACGATTCTGTAACTACTAATGTGTACTTCTAAACCCCTTCCCCCTTTCACCCATCCTTCTAACCCACTGCCCATCTGGCAACCATTACAATGTTCTCTGTATGAGTTTTTCTGTTTAGTTTATTTATTTTGTTTTTCAAATTCCACAAATAAGTGGAATCACGTGCTCTTTGTCTTCCTCTGTCTGACTTCTTTCACTCAGCACAGTGCCCTCTAGGTCCATCCATGTTGTTGCAGACCCATGTCTTGGCTATTGTAAATAACGCTGCAATGGACATACGGGTTTGTACTCTTTTTCAAATTAGTTTTTTTGGTTTCTTCAGATAAATACACAGAAGTAGTATCCTGGGTCCTTCCTTTGTCTTCTGTTATAGCCTTTATTTTAAAGTCTATTTTGTCTGGTGTAAGTATTGCTACCCCAGTGTTTTTGCATTTTGGTTTGTTTGTTTCTTCATTTCCATTTTCATAAAACATCTTTTTCTATCCCTTTCACTCTGTGTCTTTTGTAGGCAGCATAAATAAGGGTCTTGTTTTCTTATGCATTCAGTCACCCCATGTCTTTTGATTAGAGCATTTAATCTACTTACATGTAAAGTCATTGTTGATAGATATGTAGTTATTGTAATTTGTTTTTTATCCTCACCCAAGGACATTTTTCCATTTTTGTTCAGATAGCGTGGGAAGGAGAGAGAGGAAGAGAAAGAGAGAGAAACATCAATGTGAAAGAGATACACTGAGTGGCTTCCCCCGCATGACCCCAAACAGGGCCGGGGAAGAATCACAACTGAGGTACATGCCCTTGACTGGAATCAAACCCGTGACTCACTGGTCCACGGGCCGATGCTCTAATCACTGAGCCAAACCAGCCAGGGCTAGTTATTGTCATTTTATTCTTTGTATTTTTTATCTTTTTTCTACTGCTTCTTTTTGAAGAAATCTCTTTAACATTTCTTGTAGTACTGGTTTGGTGGTGATGAACTCCTTTAGCTTTTTCTGTCTGAGAAGCTCTTTATCTATCCTTTGATTCTAAATGACAGCTTTACTGGGTAGAGTAATCTTGGTTGTAGCTCATTGCTTCTTATCACTTTGAATATTTTATGCAAATCCCTTCTGGCTTGAAAAGTTTCTGTTGGGAAATCAGCTGACAGTCTTATGGGAGCTTCCTTGTAGGTAACTAACTATCTTTCTCTTGCTGCTTGTAAGATTCTTTCTTTGTCTTTAAACTTGCATTTTAATTATGATGTGTCTTGGTGTGGGCCCTTTGAGTTCATCTTGTTTGGGACTCTCTGTGCTTCTTGTACTTTTATATCTATTTCCTTTATCTGATTAGAAAACTTTTCCATCATCATCATCATCATCATCATTATTATTATTATTATTTTTATCCTCACCTGAGGACATTTTTTGATATTTTGTTCAGATAGAGTGGGGAGGGAGAGAGAGAGAGAGAAACATCGATGTGAAAGGGACACATCGAGTGGCTGCCACCCGCATGACCCAACCAGGGCCAGGGACAAACTGCAACCGAGGTACGTGCCCTTAGCAGGAAGCAAACCCAGGTCTCTCCAGACCGCAGGCCAACGCTCTAACCGCTGAGCCAAACTGGCCAGGGCTCCATCATTATTTCTTCAAACAGGTTTTCAATTCCTTGCTCTCTTTCTCTTCCTGCAAATGTTGGTTTGCTTATTGTCTCAGAGGCCCCTTAAACTATCCTCATTTTTTAAAATTATTTTTTCTTTAATCACTAATTTAATCCTCAGCTTCATCTAATCTACTGTTGATTCCCTGTAATGTAGTGTTCGTTTCACTTGTTGTGTTCTTCTTTTCTGACTGGTTCTTCTTTGTTTTCCACTTTTATGTTTCCATCTCTCTGCAGAAGTTCACACTAAGTTCATCTACTCTTCCCCTAACCTAAGTTCACTAGCATCCTTACAACCAGTGTTTTGAACTCTGCAGCTGGTAGATTGTTCTTCTCCATTACGTTTAGATCTTTTTCTGGAGTTTCGTTCTGTTCTTTCATTTGGGACATTTCTTTGTCTCCTCATTTTGGCTCCTCCCTCTGTTTGTTTCTGTGGATTAGGTAGAGCTGCAACATCTCCCAGTCTTGGTAGAGTGGCCACATGTACTGGGTGTCCTGTGGGGCCCAGTGGCACAATCTCCCTGGTCACCTAAGCCAGGTGCTTTAGGTGTGTCCCTTGTGTGGGTTGTGTGTGCCCTCCTGTAGTAGTTGAGCCTTGATTGCTGTTGGCACATCAATGAGAGGAATTGACTCTCAGGCTGATTAGTTGTGATTAGACAGTGAGGGAGTTATTGTGTAGGAGCTGACCCTACAAAGGAACTGTTATGTGGGGCTCTGATGCCTTTCGAATGTGCTCTTCGGGTGTGTTATTTATGGAGGTGGTTGGGTGGTGCTGTGGTGTGGTCTGAAGCTGGTCACCAGGTGTGTTGGTTCTACAGACTCTTAAGAAGCGCTCTGGTGCCAGCCAAAGCCAGCTGCTGCCTGTGCTCTGCCCGGGGCACTTGTTAAGAGCTACAAAGTGGTCTGCAGATGGTGGCCACTTGTGCTGGGCTTGGAGGTGCCTGGGAGAGGCTAAGCTGCAAATTGAGGCCTGCTGCCACTAGTGATGGGTTTGGGGTTGCTTAGTAAGAGGTATGGGGCACACTGAGGCCAGGTGCTGCTTGTTTGGGGTCTGTTAATCTTGGAGAAATTTTAGAAACGTCTGTAGCATGAGCTAAGACTGGCCATTGGTATGGAAGCACCCCTGAAAGTGGCTTGAGTGGGCCTAAAAGTTGGGTTGGGCGGGGTCTCTGGGAATTACCAGGGCAGTGGGGACATTGTTAGCTAGGTAGAGGGAGACTCAGATATG